CAGAAGGGGAAGCCAGACAAAAGCTTGGATAAAAGTCAGAATTTCAGTGCCTCTCACTGATGGTTCATGGGAAAGTAATGATTTTGTGTTTAACTTCTGATTTTCCTGAAGCGCTAGGCATATGCTTTTTTTTCTCTGAATTACTGTTTGTGAATATATAGTTTACAGCCCACAGAACATCAGAAATGGACGATTTTTTTGGTGCCTAGGTTTCACTCTTGCAGGTAGATCCTTGTTATAGGCTCCAGGCAGTCTAATAAAAATGATGTTTAACTACAAAGCTTTGACTTCTGCCGCTGTTAACCACGGCAGCCTAACTCCTTGTCCTTCTGAGTTCATGGAGTAGAGGCCATACTCTCATCCTCCTGCTCTGCCAGTGCAATAGCTCCGTCTTCTCCATCCAACATGTTTCTTTGCCTTATGTAGAGCTCAGCAGAGATTTCTTCACGGGACGTGTTTGTATAATATTTTATATATTATTTTAGGCTCCTGCTTACCAAATGTAGGCAAATGACTAACCTCTCATTCACCATCACTAGAGGAATCGTGAAATTGCTGTAGCAGACATCAACTCAGCTGGATCTAAACCAGTTTCTGTTTTCCCTGCCTGGAAAGTCATCCTTCGTCATTTCTCTGGGCGAGTGTGGCTACCAAGTTAGGGCAGGCTTTCCAGGCCAGGAGCATTTAGTGGCAGGAGTGAGTTGTAAACCACACGGGTCGAGCACTGATTAACTGAGCCGTGTGTAGGTAGGCGCTCTTCTGCGTGGGAGTTTTTCCTCTGGCCCGTGTTGTGCAAGGGGGTGATGTGAGAGGCTCCATCTCTGCGAGAGCTGGGCTGCCGGCGAGCCCAAACCTGCAGCGAGTGCCTCTGCCAGGCTGCACCGTGGAAATGCCCCTGCAGGAACAGGGCAGCGGCAGGAGCGCTGGGCAAAGCCGCTGAAAAGGAGAGAACAACCTGTGCACTAAATCACAAATGCCCTGGGGACAGAGCTCTATAGTTAGCAGCTTCAAATGGGGTTCCTTTATTACGGCATCATTGTGCACAGTCCTCTAGAGAGGAAGGAAACGATCTTTAAAACAATCTGCTGGCAACTCAGGCTCGAATACTTGAGTTTTTCCAGGGCTCT